GTTTTGTGCTTCCTGATATTTTTGTTACAGAAGTGTAGACCTGGTGCTACATTTTTTCAGTCACTGCTTGCTGGCCAGTAGAGATACGCTACAACTGCCTCTCTCATTTCTCCTTACTATCTGATACTCATCAGGGAATATTTTATCAGTTATTTATTTTTTTCTGAAATTATGTATCTGAGTTAGCCTAAGCTGTCTTGTATCTCTCCATTTTCTTGAAGATTGTATTTGTATTTGCTTATAAAACATCAAACTTGTTTGGTGAGAAATATCAGTGTCATGTACTACTGACTGGTTTCAAGGGTCCTGTCCTAGCAGCTAGACCTGAGGCAAGCCTTCCTTGTGTGTGTGTGTGTGTGTGTGTGTGTGTGTGTGTGTGTTTGTTTGTTTGTGTGTTGCAAGTTATCCAAGGAATTTATCTATAGACACTTGGCCTGTTATTCGTAATGTGTGTGAGTGCATGCGTGAGTATGAGCAAATGAGTATGTGTATGCACTGCGTGCGTGCGTGCGTGCCCGTGCCAGCTGCCATCAGTAGGAGCATCATAACACAGGTGACCTGTACTACCTGCCTGCTGGCCTGGAACAGGAGGAACGACCTTCCTATAACCCCCCTCCCTCTTCCTAGCACCTCTTCCCATTTTCTGTGAGATACATGATGTATACCGTCATGCAACATCCCGTTTTCTTCCTCTGGTTACTCAGCCAACACACATACACACAGTGATTTTCTTATGTTACGTGTTGCATATATATAGTGTTTAACTAGCGTTTTGTACTGTGTTAGATCAAGATTTGGTGTCCCGTAGCTCGATTCACACAATGAAATCCGGGGTTCGATCCGCGTAACGGGTGGGAACATTAGGACGTGTTTCCTTAAGACACCTGCTGTTCCTCTTCACCTATCAGTAAAATAGGTACCTGGGTGTTAGTCGACTGGTGTGGGTCGCATCCTGGGGACAAAATTGACCTAATTTTCCCAGAATGCTTTGCATAACAAGCGGCTTTCTATATAGTAGTATGTCATTGATGTCAGCTAGACCTGTATACCTTGTACATGTACTTGTAGAAATAAAGATTATTATTTTCATTATTATTATTATTATTATTATTATTTTTATTCACGACATTCTTGATGTTCTGAAGATCATTTCTTCTCCTTATATCGTCCTTTGCTGGCGAATAGGAAACTTTGTTTTAAATTCACCTAACAGGGATAAGTATTTGTGTTTGTGTGTGTGTGTGTGTGTGTGTGTGTGTGTGTGTGTGTGTGTGTTTCCCATAGTGAATTAAGGTACACAGGAATTATTTAAGATTTTCTTATATACGTATCTCCTTTATTCTATGAAGTAAAGAGTAACCATACACAATAATATTTATATTACTGTATTAATATCATGTTTTATATTTTTAATATCTATTATTATTAATATTGAAATTGGTAATTATTTTTATTTTCATCATCAGTGTTATTATTTATAATATTTGAGTAATGATGAAAAATAGTATTATAAAATAAATTATTTTACTAATGATTAGAGGAAGAGTAATAAAAGAGGAGAGAGAGTTGTGGGTTACATTATTACTTAATATTGCTTCATGTCTTGAGTTTAGATGCCACTGCTACCAGTGACCTGTAGTGTGGAGGTGCCAGTGACCTGTAGTGTGGAGGTGCCAGTGACCTGTAGTGTGGAGGTGCCAGTGACCTGTAGTGTGGAGGTGCCAGTGACCTGTAGTGTGGAGGTGCCAGTGACCTGTAGTGTGGAGGTGCCAGTGACCTGTAGTGTGGAGGTGCCAGTGACCTGTAGTGTGGAGGTGCCAGTGACCTGTAGTGTGGAGGTGCCAGTGACCTGTAGTGTGGAGGTGCCAGTGACCTGTAGTGTGGAGGTGCCAGTGACCTGTAGTGTGGAGGTGCCATGGCCTGTAGTGTGGAGGTGCCAGTGACCTGTAGTGTGGAGGTGCCAGTGACCTGTAGTGTGGAGGTGCCAGTGACCTGTAGTGTGGAGGTGCCAGTGACCTGTAGTGTGGAGGTGCCAGTGACCTGTAGTGTGGAGGTGCCAGTGGCCTGTAGTGTGGAGGTGCCAGTGACCTGTAGTGTGGAGGTGCCAGTGACCTGTAGTGTGGAGGTGCCAGTGTCCTGTAGTGTGGAGGTGCCAGTGTCCTGTAGTGTGGAGGTGCCAGTGACCTGTAGTGTGGAGGTGCCAGTGACCTGTAGTGTGGAGGTGCCATTGTCCTGTAGTGTGGAGGTGCCAGTGTCCTGTAGTGTGGAGGTGCCAGTGACCTGTAGTGTGGAGGTGCCAGTGACCTGTAGTGTGGAGGTGCCAGTGACCTGTAGTGTGGAGGTGCCAGTGACCTGTAGTGTGGAGGTGCCAGTGACCTGTAGTGTGGAGGTGCCAGTGACCTGTAGTGTGGAGGTGCCAGTGACCTGTAGTGTGGAGGTGCCAGTGACCTGTAGTGTGGAGGTGCCAGTGACCTGTAGTGTGGAGGTGCCAGTGACCTGTAGTGTGGAGGTGCCAGTGACCTGTAGTGTGGAGGTGCCAGTGACCTGTAGTGTGGAGGTGCCAGTGACCTGTAGTGTGGAGGTGCAGTGACCTGTAGTGTGGAGGTGCCAGTGACCTGTAGTGTGGAGGTGCCAGTGACCTGTAGTGTGGAGGTGCCAGTGACCTGTAGTGTGGAGGTGCCAGTGACCTGTAGTGTGGAGGTGCAGTGACTTGTAGTGTGGAGGTGCCAGTGTCCTGTAGTGTGGAGGTGCCAGTGACCTGTAGTGTGGAGGTGCCAGTGTCCTGTAGTGTGGAGGTGCCAGTGTCCTGTAGTGTGGAGTGCCAGTGACCTGTAGTGTGGAGGTGCCAGTGACCTGTAGTGTGGAGGTGCCAGTGTCCTGTAGTGTGGAGGTGCCATGTCCTGTAGTGTGGAGGTGCCAGTGACCTGTAGTGTGGAGGTGCCAAGTGACCTGTAGTGTGAGAGTGCCAGTGACCTGTAGTGTGGAGTGCCAGTGACCTGTAGTGTGGAGGTGCCAGTTGACCTGTAGTGTGGAGGTCCAGTGACCTGCAGTGTGGAGTGCCATGTCCTGTATGTGGAGGTGCAACTGACCCTGTAGTGCGGAAGGTTGCATGACCTGTAGTGTGGAGGTTGCAGTGGACCTGTAGTGTGGAGGTCACATGTGGCCTGTTGTGTGGGGTGCCAGTGACTGTAGTGTGGAGGTGCCAGTGATCCTGTAGTGTGAGGTGCCATGACCTGCAGTGTGGAGTGCCAGTGACTTCAGTGTGGAGGTGCCAGTGACCTGTAGTGTGAGGTGCCGTGAACCTAATGTGGAGGTGCAGTGACCTGTAGTGTGGAGGTGCCAGTGAACTTGCACGTGGGAGCAGTGACACTTAGTGTGGAGGTGCATGACCTGACTGTGGAGGTCCGTGACCTGTGTGTGGAGGTGCCAGTGACACTGCAGTGTGAGGTGCCAGTGACTTCAGTGTGGGGTGCCAGGACCTGCAGTGTGGGTGCCAGTGACTTAGTGTGGAGGTGCCAGTGACCTCGTGTGGGGTGCCAGTTGACCTGGTGGAGGTCCCAGTGACTGTGGTAGTGTTGCAGTGACCTGAGTGTGAGGTGCAGTGACTGTAGTGTGGAGGTGCCAGTGATTGATGTGGAGTGCCAGTGACCTGAGTTTGGAGGTTGGCCAGTGACCTGCAGTGTGGAGGTGCCAGTGACCTGTAGTGTGGAGGTGCCAGTGACTTGCAGTGTGGAGGTGCCAGTGACCTGTAGTGTGGAGGTGCCAGTGACCTGCAGTGCTTGTATGTGGGCCATAGTTGTTGTTGATATATTTGCCCTTATATCTGTAATGTTAGATGGGCAAGACACAGATCCAGAGAGAGACAGACAGGTTATACTTCTCGCTGTGATAGTGTTAGTATGTTCCTATGGATGGATTCGTATATACACAGTATGGCATGTGTGTGTGTGTGTGTGTGTGTGTGTGTGTGTGTGTGTGTGTGTGTGTGTGTGTGTGTGTGTGTTTTGTATTCCTTTCAAATGTGTTTGAGTGTCTATTATAAAAAACTAACACCAATAGTGCTAGAATTAAGATATATAAAAATGAACTCCGCAAGTTTTATTTTAGAATTACTGGAATTCAACATTATTTCATGGCTCTCTCTCTCTCTCTCTCTCTCTCTCTCTCTCTCTCTCTCTCTCTCTCTCTCTCTCTCTCTCTCTCTCTCTCTCTCTCTCATCAAACATCTTAGCGGGATTCTGTTTCCCTATGTACAGTGTGATGCTTATTAAACTGAACCTTTTGTCTCACTTTGTTTCGTTTTCTCTTTATTGTTCTTTGTTATGTTGTGTTATTTGTAATTTGTAAGCGCTAAGTAAGAGACGTTTTTCAGGAAATTTTCACGCTGTTGGCTGAAGTAATTAGATTCACAACTCTGGCGCGGTGTACATTCCTTTGAACTACCAGCAAACACTTCTTTAACATTCTTTGTTATTGCTTCACCAGTAGTAGGTCGTCGTGGGTTCAGTTGTTGCTGCACCAGCAGTAGGTCGTCCTGGGTTGTTCCATTTGCATGTGGATACCAGTTACCCATTGATTGTCCACTAAGTGGATCTTTTTCAGTCTTCTAGACTGTCACTGAGCCGTGATAACAGACTGTGTGTATGATAGTGGGGCACACACAGGACGTCTTCTCATCTTGAGACACAAGCAGTACCACCTGTCGCAACTCTCAATACCTTTTTAAGTTCTTCTTCTTTGCCTAATCCAATTTTTCGGCTTTAACATTGTTAGTTTCTTCACAGTTAAGATTTAATATTAGGGGAGATCGTTTGTAATCGCCCGGTTTATATTTCTGCCCCTTGTTTTTCCATTTCAAAGAGTCTGTGTGTGGTATCAGGTCTTCCGAGAATTATGTACATCGTAATTATGTGACCACTGTCTCCTCTTAGCGTTCTGGGGGTCCGTTTCCTTGTGCGAATTGCTTGATATTTTCCTAGTCTTTTTGCGTGTTTACTAAAATGTGCGCTCTTCTCCAGTGCTGCCTACTTTATGACGAGTCTGGTATGTGATGTATAGGCTCTTGAGGGACTCTTGGCGTACTTGAATGTTGTGTTAAAGTTTGCTAGAAGAGTATTGAGGTACCTGAATGCTATATTAAAATTTGTCACAAAAGAGTATATGCTGTCGGGTTCACTCAGCGAATGTGAACCTCCGGTGATACTCTTGGTGTTATACTTGCCGTTGGGTCCTTGTCTAAGGTTTGTGGCCTCTGTATTCCGTATCTAGCCTTTTCTTCTCCAAGTTTTTATAACCTTGCACACAAGACCAGTGCATGCGCTTGTTTGTGACCATGCTCACATGTTTGTACTTACCCAGTAGTGTTTGCAGGGGTCAGTACCCAGCTTCTAGCCCTGTATATTCGTCAGCTTGTATATGTGTGTTACCATTTTGTCATAGGTACTTGTCGATAAGACACTTGGCGTGTGTGTGTGTTTGACGCTTATTTTAACGACCACAAGTGCAGTCGCTGCCTGTTGAAGTGCTTAGACACCAGACAGGTTGTATTATTAACAGTTACTCTCTCTCTCTCTCTCTCTCTCTCTCTCTCTCTCTCTCTCTCTACGTCTAGCTAGCTAGCTATCTCAAGATTTTAGTTGCAGAGGTAGGCAGTGATTCCTTCCCACCAAGCCTGGATTGTTTAGTATGGAAGGTGCAGGTGTTAAGACCTGCCTTGTGCCAGCACGGGGTCGAGGGCAGTAGTAGCGACCACACACGTACTCTCCCCATGACCTGACCCTCAAGTCATCTCACTCACCTCCTTCATCTCTCGCTCTTGGAAGATGCTTCTCGTGGATAAAGGGGCAATAGCCTGTGCCCTGCTCTTCGTTATTATTGTCCCTGTTGCTGTTTATCCTCATCGTTTTTGTCGCCTCCTAGTGTTATTATGATGGACTACGATCTCTATTTTCATCTTAATTATTTTAGGTCTCTTCCGTTTCCTTCCGTGATCCTCTTTCTCGTTATTTTCCTTTCTCCTCTTCCCGTAATTGTGAGGGAAGGGTTGGTGGACTCAACCTCGTCCTGGTGTAATTATGACAGGAGGTTCCTACGTGATGTGGATACATTTCACTATGTGGCTGTATAGCTCAACATCGTCATAACAGCATACAGTTACTTTGATACTATTTTATAATAACATAGCATGTAAAAGGCAGTTTTTATATGGTGGTCATGTTTGTCAAGATCTTGTGACTTCACCACTCGTACGCTATGTTTCTTGTGAGATAACTATCCTCTGTGTAAAGATATGTTGAGAGAAAGATCTTTCTGTGAGGTTGCTTTATTTTCCTGTGGTAATATGTACGACAGATACTTGCCAGGTTCTCTGCTTACTACTACTACTACTGTTTACTATTACTGCTACTACTATTACTACCTTCTTCCTCCTCCTCTTCCCAACCTGTCTTCTGGTCGTCTCTAGCTCACTTCTGACTTAATGCTCCAGGAGAGACCGATATATGTGAAGTTTACTCTCAGAGTCTGGGTTATTTGTTAATTATGACTTTATGTTGTTTATGTTTTAAATTGTTGTATGGCCACACTGTTGCAGTATTTTATGCTGTTCAAATTTAGAAATGTTCTCGTGTATTTTGCCCGATTACTTCAACGTGTAGCGGAGTGCAGATGGCCATTGTTGTGGGAAGCACTGCAAGCAACACAACCATACTCTCGTGCCATCATGTAAAGTGTTGTGGGAAGCACTGCAAGCAACACAACCATACTCTCGTGCCATCATGTAAAGTGTTGTGGGAAGTCACTGCAAGCAACACAAACGCATACTCTCGTGCCATCACTGTAAAGTGTTGTGGGAAGCACTGCAAGCAACACAACCATATCTCGTGCCATCATGTAAAGTGTTGTGGAAGCACTGCAAGCAACACAACCATACTCACGTGCCATCATGTAAAGTGTGTGGAAGCACTGCAAGCTAACACATCCATACTCTCGTGCCATCATGTAAAGTGTTGTGGGAAGCACTGCAAGCAACACAACCATACTCTCGTGCCATCATGTAAAGTGTTGTGGGAAGCACTGCAAGCAACACAACCATACTCTCGTGCCATCATGTAAAGTGTTGTGGGAAGCACTGCAAGCAACACAACCTATACTCTCGTGCCATCATGTAAAGTGTTGTGGGAAGCACTGCAAGCAAACACAACTATACTCTCGTGCCATCATGTAAAATGTTGTGGGAAGCACTGCAAGCAACACAACCATACTCTCGTGCCATCATGTAAAGTGTTGTGGGAAGCACTGCAAGCAACACAACTATACTCTCGTGCCATCATGTAAAGTGTTGTGGGAAGCACTGCAAGCAACACAACTATACTCTCGTGCCATCATGTAAAATGTTGTGGGAAGCACTGCAAGCAACACAACCATACTCTCGTGCCATCATGTAAAGTGTTGTGGGAAGCACTGCAAGCAACACAACCATACTCTCGTGCCATCATGTAAAGTGTTGTGGGAAGCACTGCAAGCAACACAACCATACTCTCGTGCCATCATGTATATAGTAGTCAACGAAACACTCGGTAATTGATTTTCTTTATACAGGTAGGTCGAACGTCAAACATTTCTCAGACTGTAAATGTTGTTGCAAATTCTTGAATGGTTCTCGATCTAAGGAATTGAAGGTAGCCTCACTTTCGTTAGATCGAACCTGATTGGTTCCCATTCTGTAGGTGCTGCATGACCCGTCTGGGTTTAGTGCTTCCCAATAATACAGTTTTATATTAGTGATGAATTTATTGGACGAGAGAGAATCATTTAGTGCAGCAGAGTGTGAGTGAGACATTCAGAGTGATGGTCATACGTCAGTATTTAGTGTAGTCGAGTGATAGTCACAGATCAGTCTCAACATGTATGACTTATTTAGCATTTATGAGTGACATTTCCTGAAATATATTAAATTTAATATATAGGTTCCTTAACACAGATAAAGAAGGGCTACCCATATTATTATTATAATCAAAAAGAAGCGCTAAGCCACAAGGGCTATACAGCAGGGCTACCCATAGTCGTTCCAAACCTTTTCAACATAGCTTTTCATTAAATACATTTCATTAATTCATAATTTTTATCATACAAAATAGTTATTTTTGAGCAGTTTATTAGGAACAGAATATCATTATCTAGTATACTGGCAAGAAAAGGCAGTGACAGTAGAACTAATTGAAAGTCTGTGGTCATGTTAGTGCTCTCTTAACTTGTTAATCCAATCAGCGTTGTTGTTTATATGTGAGCTGGATATGGTGTAAGAGTGAGGTTTAAGACCTTAACCAACCATGGGAACACTTTGTATGCCGTCGAGTCAGCCCACCTGATCACTCTTACAAGAGTCTTGGCTTTATGGATTTTAATAAAACTGTGTATGTATGGAATGAAAAGGAATATTGTAGTAAATTGTTTGATTAGAGTCGTCAAAGTTTAATAGCTGTTTAAGGTTCCCATTAAAATCACCAATAATCTGTAATGCATTCTTCCTTAGTTCTAAATAACGATGAGCATCAGGAAGTTTTTCATTTTTTCCCAGGTAGCCACCACATTGGAGCAAGTACCTGTTATTTACCTCAAGCTCTTATGAGGGCAGTTGACAACACTGAATTTGATCACAGAGAACCCTATAGACAGCATTATACTCTTCTTTAATAGTGGCTACTTCGTGAGAAGTCTTGCAAACATTGGTAAAGCAAAGTAGTAGAATCAGACGAGACGTCACTCTGGTGTTTGTAAGAATGTGCAGAAGAACCCACCTATGTACTCAAGATGATTTTTAATTCCTAATCAGCCTGACTGTGGAACTTCAAGTAGATCTAATAGCAAGTTTTAGAAGCGTTGCTGACTCGGCTGTAAAAATTTGAGGCTCAGTCTTGAAGCAGGACGCGGTGACGATGTTTCCCGACACCATTTCTAGGTATCTTCCAGCTGAATAAGGTGAAAAATAACATAAGATGCACACAACCATTAATAAGATGAATAACAAGAACAAGTTGCTCGTAAGTACTTCATCTGTTATGATAGAAAAATGGGCGACGAAGTAGTTGAGATTAAGTCCCAAACACGAGTTGAAGTTTAAACCGTAAGGAACAGCTGAATAAATACACACACCAGACCCTCACCGACTGAGTCCAGATGACATACTAGAAGCTAGGATAATGCTCTTAATCGAAGAAATTGGAGCTATCCTCTTTTCAGATCAAACGAAGTACCAAATAAATACATTTTCTTCAAATATTTTTCTCTTTTTTTTTATGTATATGTGTATGTCTATGTCTAGGTAGTAGGTTGGTAGACAGCAACCGCCCCGGGAGGTAATACCGTCCTGCCAAGTGAGTGTAAAACGGAAACCTGTAATTGTTTTACATGATGGTAGGATTGTAGGTGTCTTTTTTTAGTCTCATAAACATGCAAGATTTCAGGTACGTCTTGCTACTTCTACTTACACTTACGTCACACTACACATGCATGTACAAGCATATATATATATATATATAATATATATATATATATATATATATATATATATATATATATATATATATATAATGTCGTGCCGAATATGTAAAACTGGTCAATTAGCAAGAACTCATTTAAAATTAAGTCTTTTCTAAAAATTTCTCTTATGCGTTTAAAAATATATTTTTTCATTAATGTTAATGTAAAAAATTTTAATTTTGCTCCAAAAGAATCTTAGAAAACTTACCTAGCCTTATTATAACAAGAACAATTTATTTTAGCCTAACCCAACTAAATATATTTTAGATTTGTTTACAGTAATTTAATACTAAACAAACACAGTGAAATATATTTTTTTTCGTTAGGTTCAGAATGATTTTGGCGAAATTATTGCATACACAAATTTTCACTTGTCCTATATGGCAAGATGAACGTTGCTATTTAAGCCAAGATCGCAAGTTCTGCCTATTTAGCACGAACACATATATATATATATATATATATATATTATATATATATTAATATATATATATACTGCTTTT